ATATGTTTTACGTGTGAAAAAGTGATTACTGATACACCAGACAGTAGTATTATGTTAACTAAACAAAACTCGTGTATATTCGAAATGAGAAACGATCTGACCAGCTGCTACCCGGTGACTGAGTGAGTACTATGCTTTCGTTCTATTTGTGAGGTCCACGATTCGATCCCCAGTTTAGACTCTGGATTCGCACACTACTGATGACACCCAACCAGGTCGAACACAGCTGTCCAATGCTTCCCAGCCTTTCAGCTCACGCCTCACTTGCACGACAACTTCATCACATAAACAAAACTCAATAGTTATCGTTCTAAAGGTAGTTAAGGAATGGTCACCTTCTAGTTATGGCGATGATTAAGTGATTAACCCCTTCATTACAACAACACGCTATTTGTATGTTCAAATGTGCACATCACCGCTTATTGTCATAGTTACGTGTTTACAAGAAACCTTTGGTTAGCCACAACTGTTGTGTATTCCGCAAAAATATAACGATGCTTTGGAGTTTTTGATAACATTACCAAAAAATATATTTAAGCAAAGCATGAACGAGAAAATGACTGCCAATTGCGCAATGAATTCAAATATTCCTAAATCATAGAGCTTTATCACTTTGTTCATATAACCTTGTGTTTGCATGATCTACACCATTTCCCATCGAGTTATAGCAAAACAACCAGTCCGTTTANCCACGATCCGTAGTCCTTTAGCCTTAACGCACAAATTTTAGTTATACCGCTGTAGACTAGTCAGATAGAAAAATTTTTGAGCCTCTACCTTGGTAATTATGTCAAAGGTTGCAGTGTGAAGAAATTGCTGATTATCCGGAGGGACGGGGTATTTTTGTGAATACTGTTTGTTATCCATGGTCTGTTAATGTGTCCACCTCTCATGAACGGTGGAATAACTTCTCAACTAGTTGATTTCCGAATAGTCACAAGATAGCAAATTTGTCCGACCGACAAAACAAACACCGCTGAGTTGTCCTCATTCAATCGATCCATGTGAAATGAACATATTTGCAAGCCTTTTTCGTATCAGTTGACAGGAGAATTTGGATGGAATATTGCCACGAAAGGCGTTTTTTGCTGAAAACCTATCAAGTCTGGCAGATCAATCAAATTCTTTCCGCTTTTCTTCAATTAAGTTGAACAATGGATCCAATAAAGGATAAGTAATATATTATCATTATGCTTTTTTTCTTTTTCACTTTACTTCATTTTTTATCGAATACACAAAGAAACAATTTTCAGGAAGGGGAAATTGGGCCAATCAAAGGGCTGCCATTCAACGCACACACACAATGGGACAAGTTAGCAAGTTAGGCGCTGGTGGTGAGAGTCGAAAACACATCTCCGCTGTGATAATTTGATGACGTTACCAACGGTCCACCACCGCCTACAAACATGTGCTGTTCTCACTATCAATATGAGACAAACGTGAACAGTGAAACGGCACTCAAAGTTTCAGAATATGGAAAACGTTCATGGTGCGTTTCGTCCATGCATTATCTCTACCATGGCCAATTGTCCAAAGTCAAACTGATTCGAGCGCGGTAACTGGAAGCACGGCCTAGTCAAGAAGAGGCTCAATCAAAATGTTGATTGCCACAAGTAGGATCACTTGCGATATACGACAATAAGATTCACGTCATACTGGATTAAACAAGGATGGGTGCTATACCTACAGTAGTTGCTGATGCATTATCGAGAAAATAGCTTGTTTCACCTGTCGGATTTTATGTACACTCAAACTTAATTGGATCATTTTGTACAGATAAAAACGAATTCAGCTGATGGTATGGATTCGCAAGAAGTAGAAGTGAATGAATCGGGTTTGATGGGATGGCGGCCGGTTGAGAGGGCGGAGTCACTATCTCAGCAGTACTTTGGTTTGAATAGGTATTGATCCAACTCGTGCAACAGCCTGAGTTTCATCATATTTGTTCCTCCAAACGCTTAGTGTCCTGAGCCTCATTCACGGGGGATTGTATATGATATTGCCTCACCCCATCAGACGCAACATATCTGTAATCATATCCACTTAGGTTTTGTTTCTCTCAGTGGAATGCCATGAAAATGTACGGTTTCCTGAGTTCGGCGACCGTTGGTGATGAATCTCTTGTGAAACAGATAACTAGCGTTTATTTATCAAAATGACTCACAGATTTGACACAGGTATTGTACTTTCCTCTTCATTTAATTTTCATTTCTACTACATTTTATTGAGTTTACAAAGATACAATTTTCAGGAAAGGGGAAGTGATCAATTAGAGGGCTGCCATACAACAAACGGATGATAGGGAAAGACAGGCGGTGGTGGTGGGAGTCGAACACAAGTCCCTCGGGGTGATAATTGGTGACATAACCGGGCCACCACCACCACTCTTTTTCATTGTTAAGCAATGGTGCGATCATTTTACAAATGATAGTGTGAGGAAAAAAAACGACTAAGTCACCCGGACTGTTGTCCATATTGGTTGTGTGCAACTTTTCTCAGCTGCGATCAAATTCAAGTCGCTTCGATATGATCGGCTTTCTCCCTCTCCCTCTTGGTTTGTGTATTGATGGAGAACTTCCGTTGACTGTGCAACGAACTGAGCTTATGTTCACGTTAAAACACTTACACAATTCAGGAACCGAGTTGTCAGATTTATGTGCCTTTCGATTGCCTCTCAGCTTCAATAAGATGACAAAAAATTTTGACTGTTTCATCCGGTTTGGGTAGGCTGATATCACAAAACGCCTATCCGACGAGCCGCACACATCAAGGTTGACTTTCGAAGGTCAACCTTTTTATTTCTTGGAATATATATATCTTGTGTTTCTTCAATGTCAGGGATAATTCTCGAGTAGTGTGTAACCGAATAACACATAAATTTATGTAACCTAGACAATATTCAATAACTGGCTTATTTAATATGCGCCGATTGAAAAGAGACAAGCGATTTAGAATATATGTGTTCAATTCAATACATATACTCTCATGTAACAGCAATCACTTGTTAGAAAGAATTAACTTTCATCCTGCTTTTCATAAAATATTTTCCAAATCTGAACTGTAGCGTTCGAACTACTACAAATGTTATCGCTACCCTCGAGGTCGTGCCAAGTCGAAGGGTGATAGAATAAATACACTTTACCCATAGTCATCAGTATACGCTTACGATATTACAAGCTGAAGTGTATTTCCAAAATGAGAGTCATGTTGAACACATGTATACCTAGACAGATAAACGAGGCAGTTTATCAGTACACGTTTTTACACAAGAGGTCTACTACAATCGATCGCTCTTAATCGTATTTGGTGGGATCTAAGTTCTGATTTTTGGTACAGAAGACAGAATGCATAGATTGGTTTGGTAGATGAGACCAAACAAAGCAGGTGTGATTAGTCCAATCGATCGGTGCTGCTGTAGATAACTACAATCAATTCGTTCCGATAAAATGTATCCGATTATTAAAATTCCGCTGTTTGTACTAACCGAAGTTATAGGGTTAACTAAGCGTAGTCCGTTACACCCGCACTTAAAAATACTCTGCATACTTGCCCCTCAATCGAATTGCCAAAACCATTCAATCATTCTGTGTATAAATTGTTATTTTTTAGATTGAGTCAATGTGTGATTGGTTCACATATTTATTAATCCGATTGACACCGTTTTGTTTTCATTCAAT